TACAACCAGAAAAATGTGTCTGAACAAATATCATCCGGGCACCCTGTGTGGCAGGCACTATCCTTCGGTGATCGCCAGATCAGGGTTGCTCAGATGGCAACACTGCCCCAACTGCAACAGAGTTGGAGTCCAGTGGTAGTGCTTTTCTCCTGCCCTGCTCTCAAAGATTTAAGACTCCACTCGCACATATCAACACACAAACCAAACGAGGAGCCAGTGACATGCTCGAATTCAGCAAGGAGCTCAACATCCAGAGCTCACATTTCTAATGAAAGGAATTGGAGTGTTCACTGCGGGCGTGTGGCGTAGAGCGTAGTCTCAACATAGAGGAGACGCTAAAGAGACTTTGCTCCTCTCTGTCTGAATCATTGGGAGCTTCCCAATGCTACTTCGACGGGTGATGAGGCTGTTCTTTGGGAACATGTAGGAACATGCCAACTTGCCGTGCTGGATTAAACCACATCCTTCAGTGGAGGCATTTTGCCACCAACCCTGGCAAACGTGCCATGCTTGCAAGGCAGGCAACACACCCGCCCAACTGTAGCCATAGGCTGGGCTCCTATTGCAAGTCAGCTCTAAGTACTGGAACAGCAGTCTTACAACAGAGAGCAGGTCTTTAATTTGCATATGGAGAGGATGGAGGCAGGAAAACAAGGCTTCTTGCTACCACATACAGTGGGGGAGCCTGAAAAAGATCTTTCACTGCCCTGACCCAAGATGACAAGAAAGAACACCCCCGCGAATGAAAGGTTTTCAGTGCTCTGCCTCCTCTCCCTTCCCAAGTATTGTATGACAAGAATAAAAGGAGAATGGGAAGCTTTTTCCTCCTCTCCTGGCTTCTGAAGATAAAGCGACTGCTGCCCCGTCCTCTCCACCCCACTCTGTGGTGAGCCCTTTGCAGAATTAGCCCAACCAGAGACTCAGAGAGACTTTCAAATTCTTAGGGTGGGGAATGAGACAGGATGTAAAATTCAGGCTGTTTCAACCACTGCACAGATAATAGCATTACCCAACTCGATCTCTACGGCAACGAATGCAGCTGGAGACTGGCATTCACTGTGTGCACTTCAGCAATGGCTGATGCATTTCACCCCACTTCTTTCAGAGACGTCTGCTGGCTGGGACAGGAGTAGCTGAGAACTCCCCAGAAACTCCTGCACTCTTTCTTACGCTCAGAGCAGGGAGGTGAGAGGATTGGGCAAGAGTGACTGAGCTCTCCCAATGCAAGTGACCCATCCCAAATGATCCTCATTGGTGGCCCCTGCTGGAAGAGGTGGTGACTGGAGTTAGCAAGCCCCCCATAGCCAATATTCCTCCACGGTTCCCTACACAGACTCTGTCTTCTGTTGGGACAGGCCAAGCCTGGAATGACTGATTTTCCCAGATCTCCCAGAACAGTCATTCAACAGTAGGACACAAAGCATTTAGGGCCTGGTCTACACTGAAAAGTTACATCTCTTCACACTCCTGAGAAGCATAGTTAAGCCAACCTAACCCCTGGCATAGCCAGTGCTCAGTCAATGGAAGAATTCTTCCCCTGACCCACCAGCTCTCAGGGAGGTGGCAGTGACAGGAGAACTGGTCACTGTTGTAAGTACCTGTACTAAAGCACTGCAGCTCCGGCCCTGCTGCTGTAGCAGTGTAAATGTAGACACAGCCTTCGTTTAGTTTGTTTTTCTTCTCTTCATTTACAAATCATGGATCCTTTCCCAGCTTCTTCCATCTTCCTGCTCGACACCATCCGTGGCCTGCTGGCCCCATCCTCCTCCTCCCCTCATCGCCTCTCCTCTTCCTCACAACCCCTTACCCAATGCCCCTTTCATCCCCCAGCTTCTCCTTCAACACCTCTTCACCGTCCCATTCCCACATCCTCACTTCATCATATTCACGCCATCTCCTACTCATGACCAACCCCTCCCTCATCACCCCTCAGCTTCTCCCATTCTCCCTCTCCTCACCAACCCTGCCTTGCTGCCCCCAATATCATCCCCATCTTCCCCTCCTCCTAACCATCCCCCACAGACCCCCTCCTCTCCCCACTATCCTCCAGCTCCTCCTCACACCCCTCTCATCACCAAACCCCCCCATCAGTTTCTTTCACCAACCTGCCGTGCCCCTCAGGTTCTCCTGCCCCTCATCATCACTCCTCTTAGCTTCTCCCACTCCTCACCATTCCTCCATGACCCTCCTCAGCTTGTCCCATTCTCCTGCTCCTCACCATCCCCACCCTGCCACCCCCTCATCATCCTCACCAGCCAAGCTACCCCACCTTCTCCTTCACCACCTCCCCCACTGCTGCCTCCCCCACCTCCTCCATTTCCTTTGGTCCTGATCATTGCTCTCTTTCCCACTCTCTCCTACCCTAATATTCTCCTGCATCATACATCCAAACAAATGTGATCTGTAATTAGGTTTCATGAGCCCGTGATCTGAACTGGAACGTTCTAGCAGTGGTTTTTAGACTCCTCTTTTCTCCGGCATACACTTTTATCAAAGCGGACCACCCAATGCACAAACAAAGCAAAAACTCCCAAGCCAACAAAGAATCAGGAAAAAACACAAAGCCAGAGTCTAAGGCTGAAGTTTCACAGGTGCAACTTGCCCTCTTAAGAGAGGCATGAAGTTTGGAGTGGCTGCTTAACTTCTTGCCTTTTAGGGACTTTGTTGCAGAACTTCCAGGTTCTTTTTCCCTGTCAAATATTTATACACATATGTGGATGAAGAAGTCGATCAGCGGAGAAGCACAGGGTTTTGCAAGCAGTTCAAGGGAGAGAAGGTTTGGGAAAGGCTGCCACCAGATCAGTGCTCTGAACATGAGGCCCCATCGCTGTGCATTAATAACTCATATTTTACAGTTTATAGCACATACACCCAGCTAGCATGCACCTAACTCCAAGTGGGATACATAAACTCTTGTTAAAACTTCCTCCACTCCCCTCCGACTGTACATTTATTACTGATTCAGCCAAGGCTTTGGAGACTGCTCTCCAAACGGGACCCAAGTTTCACTGGTGATGACTCGGAGACACATGGCACTTAGATCCAGGAGCGGTTTAAAGCTACAGTACATCAGGGCACATTCCATGCCTCTGTTTTTACTGCCTATGTGATTATTTTGCCTCCCCTTTTAGTACGAGTAACGCAGTGTGAGAGGCAATGCCATCATGTGGTTTCACAGCAGGGGGGCTTCTTAGATGATCATAGAATCATAGAATATCAGGGTTGGAAGGGACCTCAGGAGATCATCTAGTCCAACCCCCTACTCAAAGCGGGATCAATCCCCAATTTTTGCCCCAGATCCCTAAATGGCCCTGTTCAAGGATTGAACTCACAATCCTGGGTTTAGCAAGCCAATGCTCAAACCACTAAGCTATCCTCCCCCCTCCACGTAGCTCAGCGTGTAGTAAATAATCATTGAATTCTTAGCATCAGAATTATTCCTCCCAGCTCCCTTGTGAGATAGGTATGCATTATAATCCTCACTTTACACAAGGAGGAAACTAAGTCAGTGGGGTTAAGTGATTTGTCCAAGGCTCCACATCAAATCAGAGCCAAGACCAGGCCATCGGAATTCTTAATTCCCATCCCTGACACTTAACCACTCGACAATGTGTCTCTCTCATTTAGTGCAGAGCTGTTTGCAGTCGACACTTTCAGTTGAACGCTCCCGCACCAGTGAGCAAACCACCCAGGAACTGAGTTTCCCAAAGGTCATTGTCTGATGCAAAGCTAATTGCTACTCACTTGCAAGGCCCGGCTCCACAGGGAGCCTCCAAACAGAGCACCTCTTGCATGCCAAGGCAAGAGCTGCTGTTTGAAGAAAACAGGAGAGCTAATACACTGGCACGTGCTCTCTGAAGCCAGGCATGCCATCTGCAGCGGCAGTGTGTATACAAATGAAGTGCCCTCTGGCCAGCAGCTCTTGTCTGCAGAGAGCAGACTCTTATACACCAGAGTACCCCCTGGATGCCCGGGCAGAAGCCCTGTTCTATAAGGGGCAGAGGCTATAATTCACTGGAGTGCTGGTTTATTAAACCTTGTTAAACAAACCAGCTTCTTTGGAAACCCATGGCTCAAAGCAGCAATTCATCTCAGTGTCTCCCCCCCACAGGGAGGGAGTCTAGGAAGAGAGAGATTTCTTCTAACCCAGCCTATTATCCGTTCACCCTTGGGAGGCAACCTTCTAATGGGCAGGAGGCTCCCTTCCCTTGCCCGTATCCAGCACCGCTTCTCACATCACCTCTGTTTCGCTAAGATAGTGGGTTTATTGTAAACTTATTAATTACTTCATTTCTCCTGCAAGGAGCCAGGAGAAAAATTTCCAAAAGCAGCCAGGCTCCGCTATTATGCTGGCCGAGAAGTCGAGTGCGGCTGATGTCATGATTCATTTTCTCCATGACTGATGAAGGCGGCTCTCAGTTCCATGTTGTGCATACGAAGCAGACAGCATTCCCCTGGCACAGAGTGCCAGGCAATCCATCTTCAACCAGGACTTCTCCAAGCAGCAGAGAAAATGGCAAACTTTTGCTATTGGTTTTCACTCAGATGACGAGCCTAACTTGCCTGTAACCACTGTGTGAATGGGGGAGCTGTGATCACTTATGATAAGCTGGGTCTGGTGCAACTGTTTTCTTCTTCTTGTAGTGCCAACTTTATTTGCTATAGTCACTCCAGCAGGGAAAGATTGGAGCTAGAGTTGCTGTGAGAGTCCTATATGATTCCTGCTGAGAATGGACAAGCTACTGCCTTCCCACATGGTTACGGAATAAAGCATAATGGGATGGCAAGGGGAAGCCATTGTATTGGCAGGATCTCTGTTGTATAATGACTTTGACTAGTATCGTTTCTGGCACTAATGAGATGTGCCTGGAGAACCGAAGGTCTGCGTAATATGCCCTCCCTTCCGGTGGTAAAATCAACCCAAGCATCACTGATTCACCATCCATTATCAAACGGATACCAGTGACGCAAACGCCCAATAAAAGAAGCATACACCCAGATGGAGAAGTGACACTTTATTCTGAAAAACAAACTAACCAAACCCCTCCATCATAGTACAACATTTCAGAGCTGTCAGAAGGATCCCTCAGCTGAGTCAGGAGAGAGAGAGGTGGTGGCAGTGGAGGTTACACCCAGTAATACAAGAAAGTGACAACTCTGGCTATGGACACTAGGCTACAAAATAGCAATGCAGTGAGTACACCACGAAGAGGCCCTCCACTCCCTGCTCCTTTCCCTATGTTCTTGAGATAAGCCAAGCAACCCCTGAGAGTCTTGCGCAAGGAAGGAAAAGCACTCAAATGACGTCTAAGCACTGGGCATACAGCACAAGAGGGAGAAAGAGAGAAGGGTATACCAGGTGCTGAGTTCTGGCAAACCAGGATCTGGAATTATGAAGGACTAGATCTCGCAAAGTTTTATGTCTTGAAAGACTGTCAACTTATTGATCAGCGAGCTGTATCCAAAGGGCCCCACTATCCATGACTCCAGTTGTCCACAAACATCCTGCACTCCCAGAAGCCAACCCTTAGTCCTCATTAGTTGGTGGCAGCTTGAGCTGTCATCTCCCCTAGAGCCTGTGATCTCTGCTTTAAAGAGCTTTCAAGTGGGAGAGGTTGAGACCCAATTCAACAGGATCCTCCTGCGAGAAGCTGTGAGCTCCCCAAAGCCAGCATTCTCACGCTCTTCCCGACAGCGACTCCTGTTGAGACTGACTACATAAGAGGCTGGCAATTTAATAAAAAGGTTTCAATGTTTATAAATAGCGGGGTGGGAGTTGGCAAAAACTCTGGCACTCTGGAGTTATACATGGTCTCCCCTGGAAATATTACTGTGGAAATCTGCATGTGTGTGGTGGGCTCAGAGCTGTCAGAGAGATTGGTTAGTAAAATCAACATTAAAAAAAAGAGGCCTTTGGGTTGGACCAACATTGTCAAGGAGTAACTGGGCTTTGGGCCAAAGGAATGTGACTCCAGCTCAGAAGGAAGCAGGAAATGCCTTCTTCAGACTCCTTGGTTGCCTCTTCAAACAGCCCTGAAGCGTTTGGAGAGAAAAGGAGAGAGGGGACTTCAAAAGAAATTGGAAGCAACCAAATGCAGCAGAAGAAACAAAAAGAACTTGGCATGGCTAGCTCATGGATCCCCTTTCCACTGCATTAGGCTGGTCGTGGTGAAACAATGATAGTCACACATCCATTCACGATCCATGCCCAGAAGGCGCAAGGCTAGGATTCAGTGAGGGCTAAGCACAGGTCTGACGGCTGAAGAGTTCGAGGGTTACAGCGCTGAGGAATGCTGGTATGCTGTCCTGGTGCAGCAAGTGCAGGTCAATGAGCTCACGGATTGTGAGAGAGAATTCAGTTTCCAGAAGTTGCATCTTCCCACCAGAAGAGCTGGAGGCCTAAGGGGAGAAGGAAGAGTGGAGAAGGAAGAGTGGAGAAGAGAGAAATGAGGGGAGAGAGGGGAAAAGGAAAAGAAATTGTTAATACAGTAGGGTTTTATTTCACACCAAATGCTGAAGAATTCTAGCACACTCACTATGGAGTCTCCTTCAGTATGCATCTTATTCTAATCAAAGTAACGTTATCTACTGCAGAGCAGGTGTTCAACATATGATTTAATTGGACCATTATTAAGTTCTGCATTTCCAAAATCTCTGAACAATACACCCCGTGTGAGCCTCAAATGAATAATGAATTATAAGGCAGTAGGAAGAATGTTTAAAATATCTTGAAAACAAACTTTAAAGGGTTTGAACAATTAACACATGCAGTCATAGTAGAAAATGCAGAACCAGGGATGCTTTAGAAGAGAAATCTTTGAATAGCCTGGTCGTGGGAGGCAGGAAATATTCAAAAAACTCTTTTTCCATTAAGAATCAAAGTCCTTAAGCCCCTCCTGTCTTGGAGGATAAGGAGACATGTTTTCAATGAACATTCCCTTTAAATGAGCCAATGATCTACCTTTAACTAGCCCCCTTAGTTCGGGTATGTCTACACTGCGATAAAAGACCCAGAGCATGGCTGTAGCTGGCCTGGGTCAGCTGGCTCAGGCTGTGGAGCTATAAAATTGCAGTGTCTACATGCAGACTTGGGCTCGAGCCCGTGCTCTGAGACCCTCTCCCAGCTAGTGCAGTCTCAGAGCCTGGACTCCAGCCTGAGCCCGAACGTTTATGCTGCAATTTTATAGCCCTGCAACCCAAGCACCTGGGCTCTGAGACTTGGTGAGTTATTTATCACAGTATAGACACACGGGATGTGTTTTACCAACCCTGCTTCATATACCCAGGTGCTTTGCTGATGGGAGAAATTATTCCGGAGACACACACACAGAAGGGTGGAATCCCAATATACGGGCACATGGTAAAAATCTCCTCTCGTCATAACATAGATTATAAAAAGGGTAAAGAAGCAAAATGCAAGAGGAGCCAAAGGATGCTTTGAGAGTCCCTCATGCCACGTGGCACAAAATCTGCTTGTTTATTAATAAACCAGCAAAACTATCACAACAGAAATTCACATTTTTCTCCCCAGACATTTCCCTTTTGGGAATGATCACTGCTCCTCATCTGCCCCCTTAACGAAGCAAAGCTACAGGCAACATAAGCACTGCCTCACAGAGTCCACCCTGCCTCAGTAACAGGACATTCCCTAGCCACAGTCTATGCAGAAGGGAAACCCTGAAGCAGCTCAGGTGGAACCCCCCTGTCCCAAAAGGGGTATCAATGACTTCAGCTGTGGGTGTTTGTGCACGCAGACAGCATGTATCTTCACCTGCCAGAAGGGCAGCAATAATGTCAGGGAAGCACCAAAGGCCCCGGGGATCTGTTTGTTTCCAATTCCATGTTTTCAGGAGTCAGGATTAATTTCATTATGAACTTCTCATGTAAATGTCACTTCTGATTGTGAAGAGTGCAAGGCACAGAGGAAGCCCCTGTCACACCAATGCCGGGGAGGGGATTTTAACAAGATTTTATAGTGGAAAAGTAAATTAAGAGTTTGTTTAAAGCTCTTCCACTTCTGTTCAGCTTAATGTTCATTTCTCTTTATGAACTACTCCAGATGGCGAAGTTTAGAGCCTTAATCTTTTGTTTAGTGGAGCCAGCCGCCTTGCTTTCTGAGCATCCATCGTGAAACTGGGTCAGATAGGGACAAATTGAAGAGACTGACTGGGAAAGATGAAAAAGTGGCAAATGACAGACAGAAAGGGAATTAGGTCAGTGAGGGATATGCATTTGCAATCTATGCACAAGCCCACGCAGAGTGTAGAGTTCTCATTCAGCCTTGAATTAGACTATAGGCCAGATGCTATCAATCAGAGATGTGCCAAGGCAGCCAGATTTTGGTTTTCAAATCCAAGCCCATGGGTGTTGGATCTGGTTCTATGTGACCTGAAACACTAAAGTTTAGGCTGGTGAGAGGAAGGTCCAAATATTATGGAGGCACCAGTTGTCTTCATAATCAAGGCTGAGTTGAATTTTGCAATTCTCTTTGCTATGTATGAAAAATACAGTGTCTCCTCCCCCAAATTATTGCCCTTATTCTTTGGGCACAGAATTAATTTTCTGAGAATTTACAAGGAAATCCATGTAGGACTTTAAATTAATTTTAAAAGGGTTCTTTAAGAAGTTTAGCACCCACTGTCAGACCGTTTATTTGTTCCTTATGATCTCAGTAATGGAATTACCCAAATGCTTCAAAACTCTGTATAGTTAGAGCTCAGTGAAATCTTGTGCATAGACTACATTGGAATACTTGTTTATTTATTGAAGATTAATTGTCATTTGCCCCCCATTATTCTGAAAATTTCTGATTCAGCAGAGGCTGAATAATATGTTCTACGACAGAAAATTCCATGAAGAGCTGCATTCTTTCAAAATGGCCGTCATCTCTGTTTTCAACAAGACTGAGGGTTCCTCGGCCTCCTGACAACATAAAGGGACACCATCTTCCCTGATGGTAGCTTGACTTCACTCTCATTGGGAACAATACGAGGTGGTACCTGCTTTTAAAGAGAGCAACTTAACTAAGCTCAGTTTATAACTTCAGTCTTTATGAGAACAATGAGAGAAAAGGAGGAAAAAATTTTACCTACTCACCTCAGCTGACACAAATTTTCATTTATGAAAAATAATGGAAAAAAGTGACCATATTAATCCTAAATATTTCTTTTCAGCCGCTAGTCTGCACCGAATCTGCTCCACGCACCACAGGAGGGAGGAAGAAACCAGGGTGTGCATCCTGGAAAATGTAGAGAGTGAGGAAACTGGAGTGTGTATGTGCAGGGGACTGTGTGGGGAAGGAGAGAGAGAAAAACTGGGACATGTGTGCAGCACCATGAGGGGAGATGCAAGAGGCAGCAGGAATTTGGAGACCAAGAGCAAAGAAGAAATTGTGGTGAACACTCTTGCTTCTTTCTGGTGCTCTGGTCCTTCTGGTGAATCAAAGCAGTTTGCCCATCGGCTTAACTTGCCAGTACACTTTTGTTGCTTCTGTACTGCCCTAGGGTTACATAAAGCAGCCAGAGCGTACCAGTGAATCTGGCCATAAAAGTTGTAATAAAAAATGAATTAAAGTTGATACTTTATATTTTCAAATCACAAGAAATATCACGACATTCTCTTTGCATTTCTTGTTTAGTGTTCATGTACGCTATTATGTACTAAAAAAGACCCCAGACAAACAAGGAAATTGCCAAACGAAAAACACTGTTATGTTAGAGTTAAAGTTGAGAGTACATGTCAGTAATTTAGGGTAAAATACATTACAGGAATGTAATTATCATCAAATCAAGCATTAAAAAGCCAGGAGATTCATAGTTAAAGCCAAACTTTAAAAAGAAAAAAAAGGCCAAATATGGTCAGGTAAGGAAATGCATAGTTAGGGCACCTAAAGATCTGCTCAGTAGTGATGGCACGTGGGAGGAAAAAAATGTCTAATGTGTCTTTAAAAATTAGCTCAATTTAATCTGGGACCAAAACTATGAAAATGTCTTATTCACAGTCACATGGTTAGCATGTTGTTACTTTTAGAGATGTGAAAGGAAAAGAAGCATGACTTAGAGTTGGCATGAATATGTGGGTCCACTGAAAGGGCTGAGTCAAAGATAATACCTAAGTTATGGGCCTAGTTTTGTCACTTCTAGTTAATGGGCAAATCACGGTGGTTTGTTTGGGGTTTGCAAAACCAAAGCCAAGGCAGTTCAGATCCAGGTTCTATTTTATCCAACCCACCAACATTTTGGCGAACAGACCTTCCAATTTTGGCCTGTTTCCATTATCACTCCATTCTGCTTTAAGAAATATAAAGGATCTTTATCAGAAAAGCAATTTAAATGGGGCAAAACACCCTCTACTACTACGTACTGGTATGTGCATGACCCAGGCTAGGTGTTTCAAGAACCCCACTGTGCTTTGTGCTTCTAGGGTGCATTGCCCTGTTGAGTGATTACAAAATCAGAAGCAGCTTTTTGGCCACATTGTATTTACGGGACAAGTGGGATTGGTCTACTATGCGGCGACATGAACTTCCAGCAGTCGCTTTTCAACCTCCTCAGAGAAAGGAGTCTTTAGTACAATTGCTTTTCCATAAGAGACAAGATTAGCTGTTCCCAGTCAGAAGAAAACATCATAAATCTTCCTTTTAACCCTGGAAATTGGTAAATTATTCAAGGCTTTATAGTTTTTTATATTTTTTTTTGAAGGCAGAGACTTGCATTACAGATAAAGCCTTGTGTCAGCACTCAGTCCTTTAAGAGAACCAGGTACCTTAGAACGTGTGTGCCCTTTCCATTTGTTCCACTCTATTTATTTGTCTGTGCAGGAGATGAAGGCTTGAGTGGGATCTAAAGCTAATCATGGAAAGTGAATGCCCGAGAGAGGTGAGCAGCCCAGCGAGGGAGCCGCTGGCTCCCTTTCGGTCACAGGATAAACTTTCTATTTGTCTCACACTCTGCTCGTTCCATCTGCAGCCAAACACGTCAGTCAATATCTGTGTTTCTAGCTGCAGATTTATTTTGGTGTGAGGAAAGGCACGGAAAGTGGAGAAGGGTAGGAGCAGAGTAGCCTCACCCACCCCACTCCTCTCATGAATGCCAGGATGATCAGTCTTGCTGCAGGCCTGGAAAAAGAGAAATACTTGAATGCATTCAATCTCTGCACTTACAGAGAGGCTAAGAGTCTCTCTGTAACCGTGAGCATCACAGGAAAGCAAACATTAGCTCCTCTCACCTCCAGCAGGAATCACTCTCACGCATGGCACAATCATGGTCTAAAGCCGACTATGCTCACAACACCTACAGACACTAGATGCTGCAAAAAGTAAAGCATCTCCTTGTTAGGAGAAAGAAAAGGAGTATAAATTTGTTAGTCTCTAAGGTGCCACAAGTCCTCCTTTTCTTTTT